GATCAAGTCTGAAATATTGCTCAGCCTAATTAAAGTTCTACGATTTTGATTTTATTAATTTTCGAATTCAAATATTTGAATTTTTTTTAATTGATACCACCTATCTAGAATATATTGATTTGGTCTCCTATCCGTTTAGTAAAACAAATACTTAAATATGTCATAAGGAGCATCGGAAGGGAACTTAAAAATAAGGGAACAATCCCAAAAAACACAGAAAATTTTTACAAATTTCAAACACACTTTTAAATTTTCTTTAGTCTCAAAATACCTTCTGACGGCTATAATCTTCGCAAACGATGATATCATAATCAAGAAATAGAGTGGTGAATAAAGTATCGTTCCCTCGAAAACTATGTACTTAATTTAGTTCTAATTAATCTTAACTTCAATCGAATAGTCAATTTTTTGTTGATTGATTAACAATATTTATCTAAACTAATCCAATGAGCAACTATGAAGTGTTTGTAAATTTGATTAAAAAAATTCACTATGACTTCGAATCCCCTTTTATTATTCCATTTTAATACAATTAAGACCATGACAACACTTATTTTAAGCTCGCCGATTAATACTCCTATTTTGTTCAACAATCTCTTTCGAGTAGAATTAAATATTATTATATATGACTTTCCTATCTTTCTAAGATAAATGAGAACATGAAAATATGTAGTAAATACAGGAGCATCCAGTTTAAGACATGCAAGACATTACTGTACATAAGTATCCCATATCGAACCTCATACAGACTTACAGTTGCTAGAAGTGTTATATTTTATCCCTTCTGTCGAATAAAAAATCAATTAGCAGTTAATTAATTGAAAAGCATTACTATCTATTACAATAACCCAAAATCAAAAAGCATCAAATGTCAAAATCCTGAACTTTGTATTAAAACTTTATAATAAAGGCTACATCTACGTCATAGTAATTAGAAATTTAGTTGAGTATTATAAAATTATAAGAAATCATGTTTGATACATGAAACGGCGTCCGGATCCTAGATGTTGAATCTTTTCAAGCTTTCTTGAACAATTTCCTGTTGCACATTTCTCTTCTTTGCCCAAAATCCAAGAAATTATCATCACTTTACGAATTAGAACGATGAATTACTCGTTTCTTGCCTCTTGTTCTCTCTCTAAAACTTGATAGCTCAAAATTGTGCCTCCAAATTAGTTTTAAAATGTGGTTGATTTAGTTTTAAAAAAGAGGTTTAATTAAAGAAAGAAACCAAATTTTCTGTCGAATTTAATACTATGCAATCACACCCTTCACTAGTATATGATAGCATAGCAGTCTTTTGCTTACTGTTCGAACTTCAACAGGTGTGATCGCACCGCTTCTGTCACTGCAATTGTAGTGGTCATCTTTCTACATACGTACAACTTGGTCCCCGACTTTGTCTATTGGTTGCCCAAGTCTTTTTATGTGCCATTTTAACCCTTCATCTTCTGATTTCATCCAATTTGATCTATGCAATCTTCAATCATCATTTCTTGATGCGAATCAACTTTTGGATGTTTGAAATTTATTCCTCAAACTTTACAATTCTTCCTTTTCACCATTCTTTGATCGATTAACATTTCATTTCATCAAAAGCTATCCAAACTTGAAATTATACTACAACAATCGATATTTACTTAAGTAGTAATTCTATTAATTGACTTTCAAATATGCACTTTTGACGATTAAGAGAGGAATACAAAAATTAAAATAATTAAATACATTAGGTAACCCATCTTGTTACAGTTTTCATTGTTATATTATTCGCATTTCACCCCCTATCTTCACAATCACCACTTATAATGCAATGTGTTACACACGTTTTAACATTGATTTCCATCATCGCGATTGTCGTCTCCCCCACCAGTTATAGTATATAGTGTTAAACCACTATCCTCGTTTTGTCCCACTGCTTATAACGTTCATTTTTATGTCATTGTCACTACGCCGTCACCACCAACATTTCTTACTATAACATATTGTGTTACGACCCACTACGACAAATAAATAAATAAAATAAAATTGGATCATCTCATCGCGAACGACCACAACCATGTAACAGATCGTGTTACACAGCCACCATGACCACCTTAGCCTGCCATCACTTCAATCACCCCTACCACCACCATAGACTCCATACACCAAAACAAACAAAATATCGCCATCACAATCAATGCCACCCACAATACAAACACCAAAATCAAGAAATCAAAACAATGATAAAGAAATTTCAAATCTAGGTATGTTGAGAAAGTAGTGACCAGAGTTGGCAATGTAGATCTAGCTCTATTTGATAGGGATTAAAATCAAATTTTTTTAGTATGATTTGATAGAAATTTGATTAAATATGTGGTTAAAAAGCCGTGGAACCCATAAATATGTGGTTAAAATTAATTGTTGACTTTAACATGAATTAAAATCTAGATTTTAATTGGTACCAAACAAGGGCCTAGATTTTTAAAGAAATTTTTGAAAAAGGTACTTAGTCCCGTTTGGCCTTCATTTTTTTTTCCAAATTTTAATGTTAGGAATAGTGTTTTTTAAAAATGTGTGATGGAAAAAGAATAAAAAATTTTCAATATGTTTGAAAATAAGAGAAGAAAAAAATTTAATGAGAATGGGCCAAATGGGGGCTTAATGATTAAAAACATAAAGGAGAGAGCAGTATTTCTTAAAAATATTTACTGTCATTTCTGTCTCGCCAAAAATTGAAGGGGTGAGTTTGGCGTTGTGGACCTGCCACCGTTTGTCATTTACGTGTGGTGTGTGGTTTTACAGTATTTATGGAATTAAATTCTTCAGCAATGATGGTTGAACAAGTTAAAAATAGGGTAGTGTGGCATTTGATTAGGTTTATTTTATTTTATTTTATTTTAAACTGTCAATTCATATTTCGAAACGTTTCCTCCCTGTTTTTAACCCTGTTTTTGTAGCATTTCTCTAAATTCTTTAGGCAGTAGGCTTGGAATTTTGAAACTTACAGGGATGACTTGCAAACTGCAAAAAATTAACGAGATCTACAAGCCAACTACAACATAACTTGTGGGTTAATTTTAAATGTAAAGAAATGTAAAGAAAGTTAATAGTTTTCATCAAAATAAAATAATGTACAGGGACATGATCAATGAAAAGAATCAGAATATGCCAAATCATAGTTGTATACGTGTGTTCAAGAACACAATAATAAGACAAATCCAGATCTCAGTGTGGAAGGTAGAAGAAGCAGTTTAAAAAGAGTGACTAAAATATATTTTAAACGACAAATTAAATAAGCCACCATGAATTTCTTTAAATTTTTTGAAAAACCCCTAAAAATTTCAGACCGTCCAAGCAAGAATTTATGATAGCAATAAGAAAGTTCGTTAGCTTAACTTAGACAACGTTTCTACACTAAAAACAACTCAAAGAGGAATCTTTTTGAGTCGGCTGTTACTTTGTTGTTTCTTTTATATTTATCCAATTACCTCTCTATGTGCAGTTGATTAGATGTAAAATCAATTATATACACAAATATATGCATTCTATAATTGAATTTCGTCTTTTAGTTAAATTCATCCATGAACCAAGCACTTTCTTGAACAGCCTCCGCGTGAACAAGTTATTCAGAAGAATTGTTGTCTCGTTGAATAGTAGTCTCTGTTTTCTATTCTTTTTTTGTCATTTTGAAATTAAAAACGAATAATGTAAACGGTAGAATTTGTGACCATTAAATATTAATTTATAATATTGTGTTGAATTTAATTTCTTTCGTGTCCGTTTGATGAAATAACAAGCATTTTCTTTTCACTTCTCCCTTTCTCTCCCAAATGTATACATATGGCCTCGTAATTAATTTGTGTACAATGGTCTATACATTTGCAAGTATTGATATTTTAACAAGAACAAATTGATGAGAAGAGTGCTATATATATATTTGGGGGTGATTTTTTTTTAATGTATAGTTAAAAAATAAGGAAAAAAATTTGAATTTATGTGTAATATTATTTTTATGAGAGAGAATATAATGTTAGAAATGAGTTTCGAAAAAATATATGTTAGAAAGAATGGATCCCAAATTGGAGCTTAAAGTATGAAACATGCCATAGCGGTATATTAGATCATGCCTAATTTCTTTTCTTCTTTAATCCTTAATCATGTAAGAGTCTTTTTTAAAATTTAAAATATGAAACATGTAGTAATATGTAAAATTCGCGTAGAGCAAGACAAAAATCAATATTTAATTAAACAACAAGATTGTTCGATAAAATACTACATTGAATTATATTAAAAATAAGTTAATTTGTCCAATGTCACGTACTAAAATTATTACAAATTCACATCTAATGAATTAACTACTTGTTTTTATCATTTGTTTAATTTAAAGCTAATTAAGTTATAATTTCTATATTAAAATTTAGAGTTATGCTACATGAATAGAATTTTTTTCATGGATTCGTTATAGATACACAATTGTCATTTTTTATTGACAGTTAGGGGGAAAAATTGGGAAAAAACTGGATGGGGGGGGGGGGG